TAAGTTGGAATATTGTCTTACCTGCAACACTTCAAGCAATAAACTCAAGTTCGCAATTATAGCATAGAAGCTTTATCGCGCTTGTATTTTTTTTTATTGCTCACATGTAAAAAGTAGTGATATCAGAGACTGTCGTCGGGTCGCACTTTTTTTTTGATTCTCAGACCGATTCTACTACGCCTTTGTGACATGTCCATCACTTTTTCCATGTACCAATTGTTTTTCTAATCAAGATCGCGATTTTAAAAACGTTTTCTTAAAAAAAATATAATTTGTTTAAGGACGTTAATTGTTAACCCCTTTTTTACGCGTAAATGTCTTCTCCGCACGAATACTTCAAAAAAAGAGCATCAGATTGGAACATTACTGGATTCCTTAACGTATGTGAGCTGGAGTCATTCCAACAAATAATAGAATGCTACCTTACTTCTCTCGATAGTATTATTAAGACTGAGTCAGGTCACAAGCGTGAAAAAGCACAAATTCTCTACGATAAGTATAAGAAGGCAGGTATTAGGTTTATTAGTTGCTAAAAATATAGAGTAAGTGGCGTGGTAGAGATCTTCGAGTTCTTCTATCATTCAGGTCTTCGAGTCGAGCCACAAACTGGTGCTGGGGCACAGGTGATCTTTGAGTTTGCCTGATGTTTCTAAGTCTTCGAGTCGAGCCAGCACTAGACCCATTAGGCACAGGCAATCTTCGAGTTTGGCTGATATTCTGATGGGATTGAAAATCGGATAGAAATTACCACGTATTATTCAAGAATATTGCTAAGTATTCGAATTTTCTATTTCTAGGGACTTAGACCCGATCGCGAACTTGCAAGGAAATGGGATGATGATCGTGCGCGCAAACAAGTTCATATCCATGAGCCGACTTACTTTGATTATGGATTCATACATGGGTCCGTACAGACTATCAATGGGACTATAACTGGTGGCACGTTCGCTACTGGATCATCCAAGTCAGAAAGAGATCGGGAAAAGGTACAAATGCATTTTGTTAACTAGAAGTCGTGATAATCAGAAGAAATAGCTAATGTTTTTATTTTAATGTTATCCCTTATATTTATGTAGGATTTAAATAACGAGACTGAAAACTTCTTTCTAAGTCCTTCTGAACGACAATCATCCAATTTGTTTGGGGAAGTAAAACATGACGTTTCCAATGAATCGGACAACGAAGAGGGTGAGGTATGGTATTCACATAAAGTGATTTGTTCGGTTATAATAGATAAATTCAGAAATAGTACATACTCATTATCTCTTTTTCACTCTTTGTAGATTGTTCATCGGATAGAAAAACATAAGCGAGATGAGCCTTCTCGTTGCCTTAATTGTGATGCAGATGTAAATGTGATAAATACATTAAATTTTATTATTGCAATAGACAATTAACAATACTTAATTCTTTTTTATTCTTTAGCTTAATAATTTTAGCTCAATCATATTTTGCCCGTACTGCGGAACAAAGATTGTATCATCTGAGGATGATGAATCATCGCTTGATTATGACGAGACGGATGAGGAAAACGTTGTGGATGATGTAGATGAAGATGAGGATACTCCTCCGAAAGTTGACAAGGTGGCTTTCTGGATGGCTTATGATGCTATCCCAGAAACTTCGAAGTTGCGGTTGAGTAGTACGGACAGAATTGTGGAGGACATTCTCTTTGAATTCGCCAAAGATATGGACTATGAGCAGTAAGTCTCTCGAAAGTTAAATTCTTTTTACCTTATCACTCATGATACTGACATATTATTAGTCATGCCCATTCCTACATTGTTGACTTTGATGACGAGGATATCAAAGCATTATTTGATGAAGAGGAGTGGAAAGAATTAACAAAAGATAAAATTGGAGTTCCTTCAATTCCATGCGACATTGCAAAAGAGCTAGCGAAATACGGAAAAAAACGTTAAAAGAATTACGTGCAATAGTGATAACACCATACCTTAAAGAGGGGAAGAATACGATGTCAACAAACATCACGGACAAGAATGGATCCAAATGGCCATGCGAACACTTTGCAACCTGTATGGAAATGTGGATGCCCCGTTAATTAGGAGCCAATATGAAGATTGGTTCACGGTTGCGCTTTTTGGAACGTGCATCGATTTCTGTATTAGGGAACTGGGTACCGACATTAAAAGGTTTTAATCTTATTCAATAATAAATTATCATAAACTTCTGTTTTTTAATATGATTTATTTATCATTGCTTATAGAGCTGACGCACCATCACTAAGTAGTGCAAACAGGAAAAACCGTGGCCGAAAAGCAAATACGCGTACGCGAAAGCTCATCAGTCATAAAATTGATGGAATAATACATATCGTTGACAAACCTCTCGAAGTTGGAGCCATCGAAGGAGCAAGATCCTATTCAGGAGTTTCTGACCAGAAATATCTTCTCGAGACATTTAAGATGCCGAAGACTCTTCGCGACATGTATGCTGAATTAATGAGGGCTTTAGATTATGATGATCAGAAAGCAAATAAAATTCAAGTAATCGGCATTTTACATCTTGGGTTATGGATCCAATTCGCTAGGTTGTGGTGAGCTGGCGGGTCGATTTGCATTTTCCGCAAAGACTCCCTATCTCATAATGTAGATAGTAAGTTTTCAGAAATGGGGGTAATATCCTTTCTCAAGCTTCTCGTATCAATTTATCAACATAAGGTAAGAAAAAATTTATTCTTGCAATTATGGTTCCGTTTCTCTTCAGCTTTCTATTCATTGTTTTTCGTTTTCAAAGATTATCATAAAGGACAACCTACAAATCCTGAATATTTGGAACAACAATGCTAATATTAAGTCAGGAGATGACTTGTTAAATGAATTGTTGGAATTTGGCCAATCTTCGTCATCATACTCAGTTTCTTCACCACCACGCTCAGTTAAATTTTTCTCTGATTCCTTCAAGACCCCAAGGAAGCAAAGAAAAACAAATCCAGTAAAAAAGAGAAAGTTGAAATAGATAAGTTTCAAAATGCTATCTAACACTACCATTAATGATTCTATCAATACATTGTTGTAAGAAAAAATAGCACGGATAAAATCCACCCCTCCGGGTTTCATCTTAAATCTAACTAAGGATGAAAAGGATTATGTAATGGCCGAAGTCTTAAAACAGAAACTTCGTTAATGTCCTGCGCATTTTTGTCGAGCCCGGACACAGTGTCCAGACTCTACCATTAGAAAAATAGTATTTCTTACACATGTATTTTCAAACATATATTAATAAAGCATTTGCAGTTAGTGTAACACTTTTATTTTAAAATGTATTCTGCATTCATTAATATTTACTGCCAATATAAAGTCTTTTTTTTGCCGAACGTCATAGAAAATAATTCGCCGAGATTAACCCAAAGGTACTGCGCAATTTTGACAAGCCCGGACACGGTATCCTCTTCCACCATAAAAAAATAGTATTTCGAATAAAAAAAAACATAGCTAATTTGCTGACTACTGTGCCATGTGATTAATCCTTTTTTCTGCGCAATTAAGTCAGGCCCGGATACCGTGTCCAGACTCTGCCATCATTATTTCTTGTAGTTCATGCTTCTATTGGCTGGAAGTGTGAGGAGTCTTCACGCTTATCACCTGATACCTGAATTCCGAGATCTGTCCACTTCTCAAAGTTTAGCACTTTTTTTATATGTAGTACTGTAAAATATAAATTAACTAATCATGACGCATATACTGTTGCGAGTGTCATATGATACAGATCCTTCTGGACTAAGTGACAAGTGATCATCTATGCATACAGTGACATGACTGGTTGAAGTCGGGTTGAGACTGCGCCATTTCTACTCAAGTGTGAACATATGCTCACAGCTACCGAAATTTTTCCAGATTTCAGATAAGCCAAATTTTACTCAAGTGTGATCACCTGTTCACACTTGCCGAAGTTTTTCCATGTTTTAATGTATTCCAGACATATGTGGTTATTGTTCCACAGTAAAAATAATGAAAATCTTTACCAATGAAAAATAATAAAGTTTTGCCTACATTGGGCCTAGTGTTTTTTAACATATGTGATTTGAGTTTTGACATCGTACAAATATAATCTTGATTTTGCACAGTTTGATGATCAACACCCCTTGAAGCATAAATCACGGGTGAAATGGATATCTGCATAACATGTGATTTTGAAACAGCATTTATCTATTATCTCAGAACTAACTTAACCAAATTATGCCATTGGAAAATCCCTTATATGCCATGCATGTGAATAAACCCTCAATATGCTTGTAATCGAATAAAAAAAATGAATCTGATATTTTATTATAATATACTTTTACAAACTGCTATAATGATAAATAATCACAAATAACTTACTGAAATCACTACAAATTGATAATTGCTATAAGCCCTTAAATATGTCAGGAACTCATATTAACAGAACAAGGCTTAATAAGTGTATTAACATTATTTTAGATAAGGATTTTAATAAAATTGTGCCTAAGCCGATTAATAATCGTCCAGGATTTGATATAAATTATCTTAGAGCATATGTTAAAAATTACAGTCCTTATTATGCTAATCAATTCGAAAAGATTCTTGAGGTAGAAAATGATATGACGATTTATCTATCATTAGATCTCATGAAACTCCTCAGCAATGGGCTATTCGTATAAAAGACGCTTTGCAAGTATTGATTACAGAAGGCCATGAAAGCTATTATCATGTATTCTGCCTTTTCAGATCATATGGGCAAGGAGTAACCAAGACATACTATAATAACTACGAAGGAAGAGAAGTTGCCATTAGTTATCACAGACCTAATATTCACAATTGCAAGATGGCTATTTACTTCGATTGTTGAAAATTAATAGAGATCACTGATGTAAAACCAAAAAGAAATATTTCAGTAAATGACGAAGATATGGGTATGAGATTAAGCCTGAAAACTTGATAAAACATTATTGGGATAACTCATATTTCAAGACTAATAAACATATAGAAGCCCATCTTCTCGCAAGCTCGAAGTCAGAAATATTACGTGAAAAATCTTCTGACCGGAGGAGAGTATTATATCCTGAAAAAAATATACCTGATTCCTTCCTGCAGTTTGATAGAACAAGTGGGAGCGAAATATTTATCTCATCTATATACACAAAACAAAATAACTTAAACCATCTTAATCAGTCAAAAGGTATCACGTTAAGATTGAAAGATAGAATAAAATCACAATCGTTTAACTGGTTTAACTAATATATTTTTTTGCGTTACATAATCTGTATGGATGATCGCTTGTGAAAAATTGGCCAAAAACAATATGCATGATCTGCTTATTCTGAGTTAGATCCACTAATATGTAACTATTTTAATAAAGTATTTTTTCGAGAAAAAGAGGAATTCGTTCAATGAAGCAATCATAGGGGTTCTTGATTCCTAAATACCATAATTATAGTTTTGAAAATTTCTATGCAATAGTTATCCAGCGAGCTTACAGAAGTTATAAGAAAAGACCTGAATCTTTGGCAAAACAAGTTTGAAAGGTGGTGAGAAATGATAGTATTCCTGACAGATAGAAGTATTTAGCTATTATTTCTTGTGATGAGGCTTATTATTATATTAATGGAAAACTCGTAAAATTTAACTGGAAAAGTGATTATTTTAATATGTTATATAATCATACCCTTTATTCTCCTATAACTTGGGTAGAAGAGAAAAAAAATCAATTATTATGCCGATTAGGTTGGACACTCTTTGCTCGTGCTAGAAAAACATTACAACAAAAAGGTTATATACCAAAGTGGTATACTATAATAAAATGAACACAGAATCCCGAATATTATATTGATACTAAAAAAAGTCCAGTTAGTACATTAGTAGTCAGAATGGAAATGTTGGCATAACTCGATTTGCATATTAATATCCCGCCTAACAGTAATTAGTGATATAAAAATAAAGCATCCTGAGAGAGTCCGAGTCAACTCAAAATGTTTCCTAATACTATATCTAGTATTATTTTATAAAAATAGAACTAATCTGTAATAATGTATTACCTGCAGAAGAAAAACTATCTAGAGATTTTTAAAATGATCCTATATATGGAAATGTATTATATTAGCTTCATATTTGCTTAAGCCAATGCATGTAGGTATTGTGCGACAGTCATTAAGACGCTAAAGCATAAATAAACATATTTCTGATCCTCGTTAAAATATGATGTAATAGTGATACACTGCCAATTATCTGTGCAAGTGCGACCATCTGCTTGTGCGATAAAATAATTTCATACCCAAACGAAAATTGACACCCTCCTTTGATGCAGGAAATAAACCCTAATAGCTATTTGCCCTGAAGATCTTTGATCGAAGGGGATATTTCGAACTTTTTTCTCCCTCCTTCAGTCATAGACCTGCAGGAGAAAATCTATACTAATCTGAACAGACAAAAAAATCTATATATATGCATTACCCCCAATGCCTTTCAAAATGTCAAGATCTTCCAATGCATATTCCTATTCTCTAATGCAAAATATTGGCATAAGTCTGTTGCATATTCTCCTGTTTCTTCCCCCTAACATGAATACAAGTCCAGAGAGAACCTAAATGGAGTCATTTAAAAGGGTAGTATATTGAAGTGATGACTATTATAACTTCTTTTATTTTTACCATACCTACCGATTTATACACTAAAATTTACAATTTCTTGTTAAATGCTGAGGAAAAGGACATTACCGCTGGGTCTGTTATCTATCAAGGAATTGAAGACAATCTCTGGATATCTCAAAATGAGCTGAAAAGTATTATCGAGCGGGCTGTTGCATTTGTGAAGAATCAATATGATCGAGGTT